GTCTTGTCCTTGCGGCCCCCTTGATTAGATCTGCGCATGCGGGCTGTCACTCCAAGTGTCCTTCTTGGAGTCTTGGGAATTTGAGATCATGAAGCACAGTGCACGCATCATGGGGTCGGTCTGTTTCAATGCCGCTACAAAGCCTATGATCTCCGACAAATCCATTTTCGTGATGGGCCGGCCAATCTGATCTAAGGCCAAAAAAGATGAAGCAAGCAGGAAAGTGACCTGCCGCATCTGTTTGTTGTGTACAGTCCATGACAACACTTCTTGTCGTCTCACGTTGCGCTCCTGTCCCTGCAGCCCCCGCTAAGCTTGCTGAGGCTCTTCATGGAAGCGCGCAACGTTCTCAGGGAAAACAACACTTGCCAGGCCTCTTGGTTTCCAGCCCAGAAATCCTAAACCCTTATCCCCTGAACATCAAGTTCTTGAGCTTCCGAAAAAAAGCTGCTGCAGAGGAGCGTTGGTACGTGCACACTCAAACCTGGCTTGACCGAGTGCCCTGGCAGTGTGTCTTGTAGTGGTACATGCTTGAGGACTTGGGATTTGGGTTTTAGAGGGTCTTTTCCTTTTGAATTTGTATTCAGGGTCCCAAAGGTTCGTGTGGGGAAGCAGTGCGGGGAAGAAGTGTCAATACCCAAGATGTCACAATCAAGACTGGAAATGCTGGCAAGCAAGGCAGAAGCTTCGATCGCAGTGTAGACCCAAAAGCAGCACAAGCAGTACACGAAGCCGTGGTCGAAGAGCATCTTCAACCCAAAACCAGGAACCCCTGGGGCCCAGAAATCCAGAACCAAGAGCCCCAAGCCTCAAAGCACCATTAAAAAAAATCCAAAACCGGCTGAGGCCGCGAGGTTGTCACTCCTCCGGTCCAAGGAGATTCGACCCAAGTATGTCGAGAGCACCTTTCTCCAGGCACCTCAGGGTTTCGGTTCAAATGGCTCTGGAGCCACAGGGCTCTGAGGGACCGTGGGGGCTTGGTACCTGTAGGGCTTTAGGGATAGGGCGCTTGGGGCTGTCAATCCAGAGTCCCAATCAAGGGTCCCTTAAAAGTAGTGTCTCGGGTATAGAACAGCAGCTAAGAAGAAGGAGTTGCAAGACTTCTCCAAGCGTGATGAGCAGAGGCGTTGCAAAGCAAGGGCTATGTCTACGAGCCCGAGGAGTGGGGCGACGTCCTTCTGCTCTTTGGAAGACAAGTTGAAACCGGTTGTAGAGGCACGCGGATGTCACTGAAAGAGTGCCGGCTCCATGGTACCATCCGAAGCTTTGTGTGAGTTGATAGTTCTAAGTTCTAGGTTATAAGATATAACGTGTGGAAAGTTTGCTAATTGCTTGACCATTTCTCCACAAATGCTCCGTCAATCCGAGGCTCCACATCTCTGTCCTCGCGACAGGCCAGGTTGCTAGAATTTCGCCAGGGTTGCTTCATGCTGTCTTCGATGATCTGTTCTTGAACGTGAGCTGCTCAAATCTGAATCTGGCCCTCGTGCGGTATAAACATCTGGACCCTAAGCCTGAGACTTCACTCCGGCCCGAAGCATCGCAGATGACGAGAGACGTACCTTCGTGGGGCAAGATGAGATGCGGTTCTTCGTGCCGAAGGCGAGACGTTTGCGTTTCCTGAACTGCATAGCCGGATCATGACGTCCAGTGTCTCGCTGGGACCGGGGATGGAAAGAGGTCTTGAATCATTCCGGGCACGTCAGCACTCTCCGAAGCTTTCGGTGTCTTTTCATCTTTGCACGTGCAGGAATCAAGGATCCAAGACATGCGAGAGAAAGCAAAAACTCTTGACGACCCCGACTTCTCGGATCACGCAGACGACGAAGGTGTGGCAGCCGAACCTGTTCCGACGGCAGAAGGCGCGAGCATATCCCCCGGACAGGCGCGAGCAACACCGACGTCGACGACGACGACAGCGACAACGTCACTGCAGCCAACAACGGCGCAAACTCGCTGTCCGAGCTCGGTGAGACGTCTGAGATGTCTGAGGACCAGGCCTGGGCGCCTGCAGTGCAGCCATGACCACACGAGCGCACTGCACAGGAGCTGAAGTGTGTGAACGGTCGCTCCGACTGCACGAAAGAGCGGGGGCGTGGGGCGATGCTTGTTCTTGCCTGGGGACAACCACTCAGGCAGGAAGCGGCGCTGGCACTGCCAGTGCCATCACTGTTGGACGGGGTACAGCTGCAACGTGAAGATGGTCGAGGGCCCGGGCATCAACCAGGACCACCATGTGTTGCTTCGGGAAGTTAGGCTTGACGACGGCTGGCTTAGTCCCGAGGCGCAAACCAAACTCAAGTAAAGCGGGCTTTCTGTGCATAGTAGATTTGAGCTTTTTGACATACGTTTCCGGCTGTTTCGGGATTAGGCGTGTGTCCCAGCTTCGAAGGCAGCCTCAGCATTGACAGAACTTCTACCTCAAGCCCTCACACCTAAGCTCAACATCTTCAGCCTGAATGCTCAGCTTCACACTTACTAGTGCTAGTCAGAAGAAGTGTGAGACACCAGGACTGGAGAGTGAACAGACTTTCTAGTCCGTTCCCGGCCATTTGCAGGTCACTGCATGTTGTGTACCAAAAAGAAGGGAACTCATTTTGTATTGCCGCGAAGCCAATAAGTCTAACCCGCCGGAAGCATGGTCTTTCGAGCGCAGGCATATGGCTTCGTTGCTCATAGGAAGGGAGGGAAAGACCATGTGCTTGGCATCCGCACCTTTTCGCTCATCTAAGCTCTCCCAAGCTTCATACTTTAGGCTTGCGAAGCCCGCTCGACGTCCTCACCTCCTTCCCCGACTTAGGGAAAGGCCCTCGCTTGCTCGTGTGTGCGCAAACGCTTTATAGTTCAAACGTTTGCAAAATTGAGCGAAACAGTGCGCAGCTTTGGGTCCACAGGTGTGACGGAACGGGCTTGATCTCTTCAGGTGTACTCCGTCCCAGGGCTTTGCTTCCTCAAAAGAGCAAACATCTACGTACTACGGACGTCTAGTCAAGTCGACACACCCTCACCCTAAACCGCTGTGCGGCTCAGATTGAATTGCCGAGCGGTTGTTGAGGAGTTTGAGCCGCTAGTGGCAGAGAGGGCGGCCGGAGCAGGAGGATATCACCAGGACCCGGACGTCTATTTCCGTGAGGACGATTCCTCAAATCACACCCAGAAGCCCCATGCAAGCCACACCCAAAAGTCGGGCAACAGGGCCTTCATAAGAAAAGACATAGGATCATGTTAGGGCCCGTGTCAAAGAGCATCTCTTCTAGGGTTTGCAACAACTGTCATTACCTCATGTCCCGTGCGCTCGCAATGCGGGAATTTGGACGAGTGTGATTCATTGATTCCTCTTACTGGTAGCAGGGTTGTATCATGATTACTTAGTACGTTGTATGCTTACTATGATGACGATTTTCATATTAATATGATTCTGCGACACTATTCATGCTAATTGTGTTTTGAAGACTCATGGCCAACCCTTCCAATTTTCGGGGTGAGCATGCAATGGCCATGCTGACATGTGCTGCTTCGTCCGAGTTGCCTAAATTGGCATAGCATCCGTTCTGTCGCTTGCTTTCTGTTGTGCTCGCTACGTGGTTTTTGCAGAAACCGGCAATGAGAGTGATGACAGCCCGTCTCGCCGAGTTCTGTTGAAGATCACTGCCCGTCGAAGCTGAGAGGCAACAGTTGCTGACTGAGTTTAGGATTTAGCCTCGGGTTTTGGGTCAGAGGTGGAACTTTTTGCCAATGTCACTGGATCCTGTGCAATCAGGAGCTGGCCGTGCAGGGTTGTGCCTTGGCTGGCTCTCACGAACCCTGGACCCCGAGTCCTAGACCTTCAAGCCGAAACCCCAAAGCCCAAAAGCCGAAGCCTTAACCTCAACACATCTCAGTACCCCTCAGCCGAACACCCTGGGCCCACAGCCCGAAGCCCTAGTCGGTAAGCCGTGGGCAAGACAGCCGCTCTGCCAAGGTCAGCTGCACACGGACCTCCGCTACCAGTAGCTCGGCTGCAGACCGATCGAAGATTAGGCCCGAGAAGCCCTAAGCACCTGACTTCCAAAACCCATCTAAGTCTCAATAGGCCGTGAGCTTTGTGCCCCCTGAGACCTCAAACTCCATCAGCCTTCAAGCTCCGAACCTCTAAGCCTTAAGCATAAGCACATCGGGAGAGTTGCTTCGAGGTTGGCCCGCGTCACGTTGGTCCCGATTAGTGAAGCTGCAGAGGACGGAGCGGGCTCTGGTGCCGAATTCCGGGGTTCTTCCGAGTTTGACTCTGCGAGATGAGATGAGCTGGGCACAGTGGGGTCGCTTTCTAAATTAGGGCACCCCTTCTGAGTCTAGGCCCCCGATACAGTACGGCACCCTTGATAAAAAAATGCCACAAAAGTGACCCTACTGTAGTTTAGAGAACTACCCATTAAGTACTCAAGAGTGTCGGCTCTCCAGGGCATTCTTCTACAGACATGCATGCTTTCATTTTTTGTTTAATAATGTGTATACCGTGTACTGCATACCCTTTCCAAGTACTTAAACGGTATAGTCTAAATATGGACAAATAAACAAGTATAACTGAACGAAAAAACATTTATATATACATACATATGTATATATATATGTGTGTGTGTATGTATGTATGTATGTATGTATGTATGTATGTATGTATGTATGTATGTATGTATGTATGTATGTATAAGTGTCTCGGCCCGAGCCTNNAGCGTCCGAAAGAAAGATGTATGTATGTAGGTATGTATTTGTATGCATGTATGTATATGTATATGTATATGTATATAAGTGTCTCGGCCCGAGCCTCAGAGCGTGTGTGGGTTATTTGCCAATGCCCCCGGGACGACCAGTATGGTACGCTCTGTTGCTTCATCGTCTTCTTTGGACGGTCAGTCCTCAGAGTCCTCCGGGGAAGGCTCCACTGGCTCCGAAGATTCAGCTGCGCGACGACGTGTGGCCGAAGTTCAAGCTGCCAGGTTCCAACAGAACCGTTTCGAATGGTTCAGGCGCCGATCAGTGGCGATCCTGTGCGAGCTGGCGATGGAGCGCCAGTTCAACATGGGTGGCATCACAGGCCGCCAGTTGGTGGCCAGGATGTCAGCCTTCCGCCGCCGCTGTGAAGGCAGGACAATGGAGCAGCTGGTGGAATTCACCCTTCCGCAGTTGGTACAGCCGGCTGCGGACCACCTACACGACGACGCCACCACGCTCCTGCTCAAGGTGGACACCCCGGTCCCGGAGAATGACAGGGAATGGATCCTCTCAGAACAGGTTGGCCGCGTCCAGGACCCTCAGCGACATCAGGTTGAGCAATTCAGCCTCCTCCTGTTACGCAGGTCTCTGGTTCCCCAACTGCGGACCCCGGATGCGGCTATGGTGCTGGAACGCCTCATGTGCAACGCTGGGGGATGCTTATATAGAGACTTCATTTTGCTCTTCTGGCGCCTCCTGTCTGATGCGGACAGATACAGCTTTCAACAGTGGTACCAGGGACGGTGTGAAGGTCCACTGGACGAGCCGGGTTCGGCCTCTGCAGGGCCGATGGAAACATCGGAGCCGGCCAGGGGCTCTCGGGATCCATGAGCCACTCTACACCCACATCAAACACGTGATGGGCCGTCCCGGTCCCAAATCCGGGACCAATGCGGGAACCGTCACTCTGCTGCACTTCGAAATCACTACTTTGATGGGAGATGGACCTCTCTCAGTTGACAGGTTGCGTTGTGCCCGCATTGGAGACACGAGGGTTGGGGGTAATTTCGGTCGTTGTCCCCCTGAAGTGACATCAGCCTGCCATATTGTCTTCACGAATACCGCGAAGCTTAACGACCCTTTTCAAACAAGCCAAACTAGCAAAGCTACAGGCTCCCTTTCCACCTTTGACATTGCGTCCCGAATGGGCACGCGCAGGTACGCCGTACTTTTCATGTGCTTTTGTCAGCATTTTTCTGCCTTCTGTTGCTCGCTGCGCGCCCAACAGGCCCCAGCAGTGAGCCAGCCGCCTCTGTTGCCCGGGGTTCTTCACACGGGTGTTGGTCTTCTGGATAGCTTCCTACTGTTTCTCATATGGGTGATTACATACGCACATAGATGGATGTTTAGAACCCGGCTGCAGTGGAGATGTGTCAGAGTGCAGCGCGGACTGTACTGCCGGCGCAGATGTGTGTGCCAGTGTGAGCGTGGTGGTCGCTTCTGGCAGCGGGCCCGACCCTCGCCCAAGCCTAGCCCCAGGCATCGTAGTGGCTGCTCAGGCGGCCAGTTGGGTGCCAACCCAGGCTTAGGAAGGCTCTTCTGGATTCTGCTAGTATGGTTATACTACACTAGTGCAACCTGTGAGGGAGTCCCGCTGTCTGGACCCACATCTGCAGATGCGTTCACCCCAGCCCAGCCGTCGTTTCTGCATGCGCATGGACACAGAGCAGCTCGCGTGTCTTTTGCAAGGAAGAGAGCGTTCAAGCGCGCTCAGGCCCGGGCGCTTAAGGATGGTAGTACAATGTATCGTGGGCAGCGCCATACTATACATAGTCTCTCCCTCCAGTATATAGGCCAAACTACACCCCGCCGCTTACCTCAGACCTCCCCAGTAGATCCAGACCTTATTAAGGTAACAACTTGGAACTGCGGAGGCCTCCATGCCAACAGGTATGCGGAATTGATGGCGTGGCTCAATTCGGAGCCTCAGGCATGCCCTCACATCGTCCTAGTCCAGGAGTGCCATTGGAAGGATAGCATGGAGTACAGTAGTGACAAGTGGGTGCATGTCTTTTCTGGATCAGGGTCACAGCAGGGCGGAGTCATGATTATCCTCAGCCGCAAACTGGTGCGTCCAGATCAGGTGAGATATGTAGAAGTAGTCCCCGGACGCGTATTACATGCCAGGTTGGCCTTAGACCCACCGATTGATGTGCTATGTGTATACCAACATGCATGGTCAGTTGCAGGTAGCTCGTGGCACACTGGAATGTCTAGAACGGAGATCCAGTCTGACTTGTTGGAACGTCGCATGCTCATATGGCAAAGGGTTAGGAGCTGGGTGGCATCTATTCCTGCTAGGAATACACTCCTCGTAGGCGGGGATATGAACTGTGGCCTGTTGCCGGCCCACCCTCACGTAGGTACAGGGACACAAGGTCATAGGCATCCTCATCCGGACCAACCGCACTTCCAACAACTTGTGGTTTCGCAGGGCCTGGTAGCCATGAACACGTGGGGGAGGGCAGGCGCGCCGGCAGGTACATTCCTGCAACTGCAGCAACACACAGTTCAGATCGACTTCCTGCTAACGCGCCTGCCATGCCACCCCACTTCAGTGCGCGCCAAAGCGCTTCGTGCTGCGCCTGTGGTGCATCCGACGGGACTGAGACACGTGCCGGTCTGCGGATATATCCAGCATTCAGCCCGACCCAAGGCCCCTACCTCCACCACCCTCAAACCTCATCACATCAGGATGCAGCTGCAAAACAGCCCGGAGCTGGCGCAGGCTTTTCAGTCTCGGGTACAGCATGAGCTTTGTAGATGCCCACAAGGGGACCTGGATGTGTGCCTTAAGCAAGCCTGGCATCACTGTAGGACCCAAACTAGGCTGATTAGTGCCCTGACCCCTGCTGCAACAATACCCGAGGTATCCCTAAAGTGCTACTGGCAGGCTAAGCAGCAGGTCAGACTGGACCAGCATCGCACGTCGGGCTTCTATGCCCCTTTAATTTGGCACTGTGCACAGGCCCCCTCGGCAGTCGTCCTTAGGAATTTTCCACGGGCAGTCCAGGCCCTGCGACCTTTGATACGCCTGTGGCGTTCCACCTGCCGGCTGCGCAGTCTGGACAAACAACTGCGGAAGCGTGTGAAGGAGCGAAAGATGGCCAAAGTGGACTCTCTCATTGCAGAAGCGCAGCAGCTAGACAGTAAGGAAATAGGCGCACTGCACTTAGTGGCGCGGAGCATTCGCCCCAAGCAACCCAAACGCTCCATACACTTTCGTACGTCTGACGGCCTCCTAATGGGCGAGCAGGAAGAAGTGATCTGCATTCGTGACTTCTTCGCCGAACTGTATCAGTCTCAAACCAGGGTCAGTACCGTGCACATTCTTACAGAATCTCTTGATATCCAGGAATGGGAGGTCCAAGAGGCACTTCGTAGCTTGCCGGCCCGCAAAGCTTTGCCGCCTGGCCAAGCGCCCGCGCTGCTGTGGAAGCTGGCAACAGATGACATCTCCAAGGTCATGCGTAGCCGGTTACAAACGCTCCTGCAGCCAGGTCCCCTAGAGTTCCCACCCAAGTGGCACGATTCCTACCTAACTCTGTTGGCGAAGCCAGGGAAACCTCCTAATTGCCCCGCCAATCTGCGCCCGATCAATTTGTTGCCGGCTGAATCCAAGATGCTAGCGCGCATCGCGGCTCGCAGACTGCATCCGTTTATAGTACGAGCCGTACAATCGGTGCCCCAGTTCGCATATGTACCCTCGCGGCAATGCGCAGACGCCATCGATAGGGTAGTTTCACATTGTGCCAGAATTAGGGCTAGATTGCAGTCGCATCGCCGTAATGCTTGGAGCCGGCCTCAGGCGACCTGTCAGGATGCGGTCTATGGAGGGCTACAGCTTTCTCTAGACATGGCGAAAGCATACGATAGGCTTCCTCGCGACCTCCTTAGACGGGCCTTAGAATGGATCGAGACCCCTGAGCCCCTTATCACCTTGATACTGTACATACACGACCATGCCAGCATTGTCATTTGCAGACATCACTTCACCGAGCATGTGGGAATGGGGAGAGGGGTCAGGCAAGGCTGCGGGTTATCGCCTCTGCTGTGGATTGCATTCACCCTCCTCATCCATGACCGACTCAGCCAGTACCTACCCATCGAGGCGCAAACCAGCTACGCGGATGATTTTCACATTCAGTGGGAGATCACAACAGAGCAAGAGTTCAGAGCTGCATGCCACACCATCCCGCGCATCCTAGCAGATCTAGCTTCATTAGGCATGGAGGTCTCCCTGGGTAAAACCGTGGTACTACTGGCTCTGCAAGGCCCACTCGCTCCCAGACTGCTCAAGACATACACCAGGCGGGTTAAGGGGAACAGGGTCTTGCATGTCCAGACGCCCCATGGTACCACGCAGATCCCCATACGTCGTTCTCATGACTACTTGGGAGTCAAGATTAGTTACTACCAGTTTGAGCGTCTGACGGTCCAACACAGACTCAAACTATCCTGGGTTGCCATGCACAGGCTACATGACCTACTGAAGCACCGCTTGCTCCCCATACGTAAGAGGACCCTCTTGTGGCAGTCATGTGTGTGGACTGTGGCGAGTTTTGGACTCACAGCCATCGGCATGGACCCTCAGAGTGCTCAGCAGTTCTACTCTGGCATCATGCGCCAGTTACGCACCGTAGCTCGTAGTCCTGCTCATCTGTCACATGAAACCAACGCCCGGGTCTTGCTACAACTTGGTCTACAACACCCTGTAGAATGGTTAGCTAGACTTTGCCACAAGCGCGTTCAGGAATGTCTGCAGGGAGTAGGTCAGATACAGCCGCTCAGGGTCCATCACTGGTGGTCTGTTCTGCCGACCAGTTTTAGCCTGTGTACTGGTACGGAGTATGGCTCGGGGGTACTCACAGAGGTCACCCAGATACTTCGCATTCAGTGCCATTGCCCCACATGTGGTCAGGCCTTCCCCAGCTCTCATGCCCTAAAAGTCCATATAGGTAAGAGCCACCCCGAACAACAACCCAGACATGAACCCAACCCAACCATCAAGAACCGTCGCCGGGATGAGTATCGCAAGCATGCTGTGCAGGGCAGACCACAGTGTAGATTTTGTCTGAAGAAGTTTTATGGATGGCCACAGTTTATGGGACATTTTGACCAGTCAGCCTGCCCCATCCTCCATATGCCTCAAACAGCTGGATTGCACCCTGTGAGAACACCCGCCCTGCCCACTGCCGATACTCCATCACCAGAGGACAGGTCATCTCATGTCCCGGAACGGCCTCCCCTACCTTCCCCCGGTACAAGTGCCGCTGTACCTGGGGCAGCTGAGTTGGATGTAACAAGGGCGCTCGCGCCACCTTCTGTTGATGACGGTGCCCTGGCCCCGCCAGATCCGGTGCCGCTTTTTCACCGGCCCGACCTACAGGCACTAGCCGTCAAAAGAGACATTCGAAGCCTGGGAAAGGCCATCCGTGCAAGTGGGCTCATGAATCACTGCCCTGAATGCTTTCAATGGGTGTCAAAACCGTCATATGTCGCCAGACATGCTACTCAGATGCATCCCCGAATTAAGGCAGGGCAGGAGCAAGTGCAGATTTGGGCCCAAAGCAAGTTGGGCGTCAGCCGACCCTGCCAGTGGTGTGGTGATAGTACCTTTGCCCGTGCGGCCTCGCACCTCAAGGCTTGCCCTGTGCTGTGGACGATAGGCCATTTTCTGAACTTGCATGCCTCCTTGCAAGATTCCGGTCAGGCGACCCTTCATGTCCGACCTGGCGGCGGAAATGCTGGAGGCTCAGGCCGAGTTCAGTGCCTTCGGCGCGTACATGCATACCCCGCCGGCACTGCAGCAACGGCGGGCGAAGGAGTCCGAGGCATCGGTTCCCTCGACGGATCTGGGTTCGACACCGGCCCCAAGCCTGGCAGAGAGCGATCAGATGGAGACGGATCGGGACCGCGAGAAGAGGACTGCGGACCCATCAGCGGCCAAGGATGCGCCCCCACCTTCCAAGTGGGCCAAGGGGGATGCCAAGGGGGATGGCAAGACGGAGGATGTTCAGTCGGGCAAGGGCCGAGCTCTGGACAGCCAGCCACCGCAGGCAGCTCGGGGATCGGGACAAGGTGCGGGGCAGGGCTCAGGACAGGGCTCCGGGCAGGGCTCCAATCCCAGGGACAGCCGGGACATGGACAAGGCGGGCAATCCGGGTCCACGCGCGGGCTCCCAACAGCTGGCCAACTGGCGCCGGACAGGAGGATACCGGCAGTGGCCGAACAACCAGAATGGCGGCAATCAGCGCTGGGAGAGCAAGGATGCCAAGGAGCTTCGCGAGCTCAAAGAGGCAGTTCGGGCCATGGGCCGGCTGAGTCTGAGGATGGAGGACGCCTTGGGTGTCCTCCATCTAGACTCAGAATACATCCTCTTTTTGCAAACAGAAGCGGCTGGCAACGAATGGGCAATTACTCAGCAGCTCTACGACACAGCAGTAGAGTGGAACCGCCAGAAAGAGGCGGATCCGTCCGCCCTAACGAACCCGATGAGGAATATCCTCCTATACAACATGTACAACGCCCTCCTCATGAAGCTGGAAGCCCTGGAAGTGGACACGAACTTGATGACTGCCGCGAAGAATCGCGGCCTCATAGAGGGCACATCGTACGTGTTTCTGCAATGGGATCAGGCGACCCGCAGGCATGTGAAGGCAACCGCCCAGCCGATCGAGCACGAGGAGGCGGTCACCATGGTGAAAACCCTTCGCTACCTGTCGATGTTCCCGAACGTAGTGGGCAGGTTTCATGCGTTGAGACGCATGGAGGACAACCTCAACGGCGATATTATCCCCTTTTCACTCGTGGCCCAGAACCGCACGGCCGAGTCCCATCAATTATTCGCCCTTATGGGCCGGCTAGCGCGCAACAGCATTTGGCACCTCATCGCTGCCACGATGAGGCCAGCCAAACCGAGCAGATCGCCGCTCGCGAAGTATGTGGACAAGCTGGTCCGACAGCTGTAGGCACGCAGCCAGCAATTGTGTGTGGGGTTGCCTTGTCTAACCCTAGTAACCACTGTTATGCAAACTCCAGAGTCATGGCTCTCCTATGGCTGGCCGCATCCTCTGTGGAAGGCATTACGGTGCCCCACCAGGCCATGGGCCGATTTTTGAGATGGCTTGTGCGGCCGGCTCCCGCACAGGCGCGGCTTCCAACATCGCTCTGGTCTGTTAGGCTCTGGACTGAACTCGTGCACGGCTGGCAGGTGCCACACTGCCAGCATGATGCAGCCGAGTTTCTGCAGTTTATCGCGCCTCAGCTCGTTGCATCACCAAGCATGTTTAGTTGGCAGGCCAGGGAACTTAGAGGCGGTGCGCACTGCTCATCCTCACAAGACTCAGCCCAGGTTGTCGATCAGGGAACTCTGTGGCCGATGATGGTTTCTGCACAGCTCGAGGCTGTGCTGCCTTCTTCCGGTGTGTGCGCTAGTCACCAGTCAGCTGTCAGCCTGCAACAACTCCTCATAAGATGGCGCAACCAGGCAGCCCGACATGCCCTGGCTATGATTCCTGACTGGTTTGTGCTTCAAGTGAGCCGTTTTGATGACGACGGCCGCAAGCTGTTGGTGCCTGTGAGCATAAGTGATGCTGTATATGTCCCGATCTTCCCTGCTGATACCCTGGTTACCTCGTCGGTTCGGTATAAGGTGGTTGCTATAGTATACCACATAGGCCCCACCATGCTTGCGGGGCACTACCGCACTGCCTTGTGTCAGGATGGTCAAATTAGATATGTCACGGATGATGGCCGCCCGGCCACTGCAGCAAACAGCGCAGATGTGCAACAGATTCAAGCCAATGCGTATCTTTTCTTTGTGCGGAAGTGCTGAGTCGAAGGTACATGCTGGCATCGTCGGCAGATGAGTGTAGTTTATCTTAGTCAACCGGTTGTTACTACTGTTCCCTCAGACCGATGTTTTTGGTTTGTGTCGTCATGCTTGACATCCTACGGGTCCCAAACCGACTTTTGGATGCCTGGCAGTCTGATCCAAGGCCCTTCGGGGCATTTTAATCGTTGCAGAGCTGCGAGTCCACCACCATAGGGCGGTCACGCCATCGGGGGGCTCCAAGTGATCTTCGGTGCTAGTGTTTACTCTATTTTCATTCCATTTTCTGATCTTCAATGTTGTGAATAGCTTTTTCTGATGCGGCTCATGCGACTTGTAGGTGGAAGGGGGCGCTGTAACACATGGCGTGCAACCAAGTGAGTTGCCAGCTGGCGAAGCTGCCCGCATCGCGAGGACACTTTCTTCGCGGCGAGTGAATGAATGAATGTATGTATGTATGTATACATATATATATATGTGTGTGTATAGATATAGAGTATAAACACAAGTAAGTAAGTTCATCAATGAGTAATCAAATAAACAAGCCAACACATTTGTAGAGTGCAAACAGATAAGTAAGCATCTATGAATACAAGTACAAATATATAATTATGTATATGTGTGTGTATATATATATACATATATATATACATACATACATACATATCTATATATGTATATATAGATGTTTATATATACTATATACAATCTAGGCAAATGCTTTGACTCTTTGCTGCTCGCAAGCGATGTGTCTACGGGCGGCGCCTTGAGTTTCTGGGGAAATGTCGCTATTCCTTCAGTATGCTCCCAAAGCTGCACGAACTGCCGCGAGCTGCCCCGGTGGGATTCTGGGGAGCAAGCTCCTGGTTACGGTCGCTGTGCCGTACTTACTGATGGTGGGCAATGCTCGCCTGTTGACTTCTGAGTGGTTTGTTCGGGTGGAGTACTCTCGTTCCGGATTTCCAGAAGACAGCTTCGGCATGAGCAGCAGCGATAGGCTTGCTTATGGGGTGTACTGCATCCGATACATGACGAACGGCAAAGGCATCGACTACCTGAAAAACTTAACTTTACCCTACGACATATGCCACTGGAGTCGGCGCCCGGCGCAGAAAACGGAAGGCTGCCCCATGTTTACCGAGAAAGAGCTGAACCACATGCAGGATGTGAAGGCACTTTCCGGCGCGCTCTTCGTGGCATTCTGGGGTCTTCTGGTGCTGGTAGTCGTCGCAGCGGCCTTTTTGATTCTAGCAGATTCAAAAGTGCTGAAGCTCGCCCTGCTGCGTGGGAGTCAGCTGACCTTGGGACTGATCTTGGCCGTTTCGCTGTTTGCCTTGCTGGGGTTCAAGACGCTCTTCCGATGGTTTCACGTGTTGTTCTTTACTGGTGATTCCTGGCTATTCTCGTTCCGAGACACGCTGATTCGCCTATATCCCCGGCAGTTCTGGCTGGATGCAACGCTGATCCTATCCTTTTCCACGCTCCTTCTGTCGCTGGCAGCGACCGTTGTCTTCCGCAGTTCACGGCCTCTACACCCCAAGGAGAAATCAGAAGACTACGTCTGAGGATCACCGCCAGCCCTGGGGGTCTGGGTGTCGGCCAAAGGCTTGCTGCACCCCGCCCCAGCGCCCGCCCGAAGCGCGTGGAAAAGATCGTCCTGTGCGGTGCTCGCCTCCCCGACCTCACCTCACCTCAACCGGCCGGCAACCCAACATCTCAACTCTCTGCACCCTGTGCACAGGGGAGGAGGAAGACCGAGGATCTGTGCAAGACACCGCAAAATAGCCGCTTGCCTCTGTGATTTGTGGGGTCCAGCGGGCTTTCCGGGTCTATGCTATGCCAGGTCAGGTGCATTTCTGCCTTTCTACATCTACAACGTGCCTCTATCCGACACATCAGCTCAGGCTACAGCAACTCACTGCGCTTGAAGATTCCGTCGAGGGCATCTTGGACCATCTGGGACCCAATTTCTGCAGCCGAGGGTTGTCGGTCCCTCGCTAAGGTGTCACGCAGACAGTACGTCTACTCGATCGATGCCCCTATCGGTGCAAGTCTCAGTTGGCAGCGGAGGCTTAGAGGTATCCAGCCTACAAACCAGTTCTTGGACTTGCGGCAAGGTGCGTTCGCAAGGTATGAAGTTTGTTTCTTGGCTGGCATTCGAGACGTCCGGCCAGATCTGTGGCCCTGACTCGGCTCCAAACTGAGGCTACTGCTACGGCGTGGCGTGCTTTGACGACAAAGACTGGCAGACGAAAGAGAGCTTAGCGGGATGGTCCAGCGTGGGCCAAGTGGAAGTGCCCGAGCTTAAAGGTAGCATGGGTCAGTGTGTCGCTCCGACAACGGATCATTCCCAACAGCGCGACGGACTCTTTCGGGAGGTCAAGGAGGAAGCCTAATTCAGCAGACTGCCCACATCTGTTCGAATTAACCAGCAACGCGGTCCCCGAAGCCTTTGGGAAATGTGTTTGGCAGAAAGGTGGTCAACACGGAAGAAGAGCGTGATGCCATCGTCTTGAAGATGTTCGAACCGTCGGCGCGCCCGTGGGGAGGGATCTCCGGACTTGTAGGAGAACTTGGGAGAACTATACATCTTTGGACTCGTGTAGATGAGGCGACGGAGGCAAAGGTATGTTCTCTCCATCAACTTTCTTGGGGCCTCTTGTAAATTTCATTGGGATGCAGCCGTTCCTAAGCTGCCGCAGGCCCTGAAGGCTCGATGGATTCGGGAGCAGCCCGCCAAGCTCTGTAAAACAGACTGGTACTTGAAGGAGCAGGAGACGCCAGCTGCCTGAGATTGGGTTTGGATCGTTGAGCGCTGCATATTTTAAAGCAGAGCTTATATAATCATTCAGCATGGTCAACGGGGTGCAATGCTGCGCAGTCGAATCCGAGCGTTGACTGTACAGCTCAGCAGCGGCAGCCGGGATGTGCTCTGCGGTGCTCGATTGTGTCTTTTGCGCAGCAGAGGTTCTTCTTCGTCCGCCGGGGGCAACACGTCTTCTTCAACTGCAGCGAGGGCTTCCAAAACCTGCTGCTTGCCTGGGCAGTTGGCTTGAACAGCTTGATGCCTTCAAGCATGGCTGTAAGATGTGCATTGAAAAGACAAAGACAGGGGAGTTCGTCCCTCAACCCGTCATCTTTAAACCTGCCTTCTATGGGCCGAGAACTCACAGAGCCTGCCTCCCCTACTGCCCTAAAGCCTAAACCCTAAACCCGAAACCCGAAACTTTGAAGGAAGGGGGTCGAGCAGCTGACTTGCCACGATGGGGCCTGGAAGGCGCCCCCCCCCCCCCCTGGGAGCTTCTTTCTCTCTGTTTAGGGTTCAGGGTTTAGGGTTTAGGTCTACTTCAGAGAGGGAGCTGTGGACTTTAGAGACCGGCGGGTCAGAGATCTGAGCCGCAGGGGTTTTTGATGGGTTTTCGCGGGCTTCACTGCAGTCGTAAAAACAGGCCATGCAGGTACCGAACGTGTTTGCCACGATTTGGAAGATGCCACCTCGTTAAGAGAAAGTTCAGCTGCCAGGTGGCCAAGCATTCCGAGGACAATCCCATGGAGCAGAAACTCTCGCCCCCGGACATGGCGGTCTGGGTGCCTCGGAAATGAATAGGGAGTCTGTGCTTGTGTAAGGTGATGGCGGGCTCTACAAAGTCTGCATCTATCGATGGTGCGGATATGGTGCCTCTCCTCTCTCCCTGCCAAAGCCAAGGAGCAGGGACAGTTTCCCGAGTGTTCTTGGAAGCACGCGGGCAGCTGCACGACGGACGATCCCCTAAGCGTGGCTCCGCTCGGACAGATCTGGGCTTCGGGTTGAGAGTGATGTTTAGGCAGGTGTAGATGTGGTGTGAGACAAGTATCTTAGATGTGTGTATGTATATGACAGAGGTATTTTTCCCGCGCGGTAAACTAAAACGAAGGTACACGCAAAAAATAACACACACACACACACACGCACACGCGCGCACACACACACACAAAGACACACGCATGCATACATGTGTGCCCACGGGCATGCATGCCTCCAAAACCAGATCTATCCAGCCACATATGTTCTTTACATGCATATGTATGTTTTATGTACAAATGTATATGTAACATATGTACATGAAAATGTAGATGTATATGTAAAGGTGTATGTTATGTGTGTATATGTATGTCTGTGTCTTTGGATAGGTGACGGTGTAGGTTTGCGTGTGCATGTTTTTTATGCATGAATGGATGACGGTATGTACGTATGTATGTATGTATGTATGTATGTACGTATGTGTATCTATGTATGTCTTTATGTATGCATGCATGCATGCATGCATGCATGCATGCATGCATGCACGCATTTGTGTATGGATGTATGTATGTAAGTATGTAAGTAAGTAAGTAAGTATGTATGTATGTATGTATGTATGTATGTATGTACGCAGGCATTCATTGCATACGTGCATTCTCACGCCTACCCCCCCCAAACACACGCATTATATGGTACATATAATAAATATAAATACAGAACGGGCCTCCCTGGGAGTGCAGTTGTTTGCGTGTAAAAAAAATATATATACTTATATATATATACATACATACATACATGTGACTATAAATATATAAATATATATATGTATAGGTATGTATACATATGTACACATGTATATATGTTTACATGTATATATGTAAAGCACACAAGCATCCCCATAGACCATAGATGTAGTTACAAGCAGATGTAGACGTCTAGAGGCGTAACCATAAAGAGATGTAGAGACGAAGTGGTGTAGAGACGCACAGGCTTAGACTGGGCTGAGAGATGCGTGAGACATGAAGCAATACATAGGTGGGCAGGGATGGGGGCTCCCGGCAAGTTCGGCATTCGAAGAATCAATGAAGTAGAGATCGGATGCCACGCTTGAGGTGGTATCGCCGCGAAGCCTGGGCCCCAGGAGCCCGAAGTTCACGACACTTCCACGCTCGGAAGAGCTCCGTCTGTCGGATTCCATGCTGAGGTCCTCCGATTACCAACGACTTCTCCGGGGATGGCCGGGTGCACTACCGGTCTGGGGCCTCTGTTCTCTGGGTCCCGCTTTGACTTTGATTACCCCTGGAGCCCAAGGTGCAACCCTAAAAAGGGCACTGGGCAGCCCATGCGCCTTGTAGTCTGGGAGCCGGACCTGAACCTCACCAGGGGAGCGCAGGCGCGAGCTCGAAGGCTTCTCCTTTTTCAGCTCTTCCTGGTTTAGGGTTTAGAGTTTAAGGTTTTTAGGGTTTAAGGTTTAGGGTTTTTAGGGTTTAGGGTTTTGGGTTCTGGCCAGGTCATCTACGACCGTAGCAAGGTCGCCGAAGTTCTGAGCTTCCAGGAGAAGAAGTATCAGGCACTCCGCCAGATACCGCGGTGCAATACGCCTGGAAACTTCCGAATCCCTAAACCCTCTAAGTCCCAAACTCCTAAACCCTAAACCCTAAATCCCTCTAAGTCCCAAACTCCTAAACCCTAAACCCCTCTAAGTCCCTAACTCCTAAACCCTAAACCCTAAATCCCTCTAAGTCCCAAACTCCTAAACCCTAAACCCCTCTAAGTCCCAAACTCCTAAACCCTAAACCCTAAATCCCTCTAAGTCCCAAACTCCTAAACCCTAAACCCCTCTAAGTCCCTAACTCCTAAACCCTAAGCCCTAAACCCCTCTAAGTCCCAAGCTCCTAAACCCTAAACCCCTCTAAGTCCCAAACTCCTAAACCCTAAACCCTAAATCCCTCTAAGTCCCAAACTCCTAAACCCTAAACCCCTCTAAGTCCCTAACTCCTAAACCCTAAACCCTAAACCCCTCTAAGTCCCAAGCTCCTAAACCCTAAACCCCTCTAAGTCCCAAACTCTTAGACCTTAGGAGAACTCTTGTGACTTCGTCACAGGTCAAGTTGCTGGACAGTGGCGAGGAGAAGACCGCAGAGCCGGACAAAATAGAGCTTCAGCCAGACTAGAAACAATGCTGAGGATGGCCTTTGCCGAAGCTGGAAGGAAGCCTAATAATAATAATAAGAAGAAGAATAATACAAAATAATAAGAATAAGAGTATTATTGTTAACAATACTAATAATAATAAGAATAATAATAATACAGCACCAGGAAGCCAGCTTTCACAGGTGCCCTGACCCAGGGCCTCTCTAGCTTCCCTAGCCCACAAAACCCTCAGAGAGGGCTTGGCTCGGCTTGCTCAGGAGTGGCTGCCGTCAGACACGAGCTACATGCGTTGGTGCGGCGAAGGAGGTAAGTACGAGCCCAGCCAGGTAAAGATCCGAACCCTGGCTGAAACCTGGGTTTAGGGTTTAGGTTAAGGCTGTGAAGGGTATTCGTCTGAGCTACAGTGACAGTGAGGTAAGGTTGCTTTGGGGGCAGTAACCGGGTAGTAGAACTGTATCGAGGTCTTCCTTACGCTGTCTCTACTGCCCTTACAGTTTTCTTCTTCGTGTCAGCGACATCATGTGCTGGAAGCTGCCCCGAAAAGCGAGTAGACAGGTATTGCCGGTAAGCAAGAAGAGCTGCTCATCCAGCAGCAATCTTGACATGCTTTCCCGAATGAGCCCCGGCAGAGGCAGAGAAAGAACCACTACATCCTAAAACCCAAAACCCGACCCTAAACCCTAAACCCTATAAACCCTAAGCCCTAAACCACTACATCTCCCCCGTGCACTGGCGAGGCTGCTTGCTGGTCCTGCCTTCTGAGACGGAGAAGGAGGATGCCGACGATGATCAGTCGGTCTCTTCGCCTAAAGCTGGTGCTTAGACCATGGTTTCAAAGTTATCAAGACAGGATTAAGGTCTACTCAACTTGTTGCCAGTCTACGTGAGTATACGTTAGTAGTACTGCACATGGCCGCATGGCATAGGATGTTTCCAGATTGCTTCCAAGTGCATTGCTACTATGATATGTCCGTTTCAGAAAATCTGCGACCCTCCCTTCTCTTGTCGGACCTTCCCCTGGACCCCTGTATCATGAAGATCCCGAAGAGAAAGGAACTCCTATAAACTGCACAGCCCTTTCACAACTACACCCTATGCAGCCTTCTTCGACCCTACAAAAAGTCTTCTGCAGCCCCTAACCCTCAACCCTAAACCCTGAACCCCTAAACCCTCCCAAAAACAAACCCTAAACCCTCAACACTAAACCCCAAACCCTAAACCCCTAAACCCCTAAACCCCTAAACCCTAAGCCCTATGCTCTTTTCGGCTACGCTTAGTTCTGTTACCGAGGCCAAGGGTGACTATGCCTCGGGTGCTTTCGCGGCCGAGCAGGAGGCAACGACCACGAAGAAGCCGGCGCCTGCCCTTTGCCGCAAAGGAAGGGAGGGGTATATTGTAGGGCGTCATGAGGGTTTTCTGGTTTTGGGATTTACGGATCCAGGGGGTTCATATTTCATGAGGTCAGGGGTTCTGTTTTGGTTGCCGTAAACATGGCTTACCGCAAAGCTTGGTGTGACACTTTAACTTGTCGTTGACCCCACCCGAGTGGATCTCGCTGTTGGAACTCGAACCTGTATACCATAGAGTATATGTGAGAGCTGTGAGTTTAATATTGTGACCTCTAAGACTCTAAGACTCTAGGCACGCTTACCCTCCACGCCGACTCACGAAGATGCCTGCAAGCGTCTAGATGCACCCGGGCAGAAGCCACACCAGGAATCCAGGAATGATGAGTTTCAGCAGGCAAAGGGGCCTGCAGGAAGAAGAGGGAGTTTGCCAATGCACAACCCGCAGCCCTAATTAGCCTATAGTCCAAGCCCGAGGCCCTGAGCCCAAAGCCGCCGCAGCCCTAATTCCGACTTCCACCTCGGGGCCTCACGTCCTCGCGACGTCCGTTCTATAAAAAACATACAGACAAGGCTCCTACAAAAAGCCTGATTGGAAACACCCAAAACCCTGGCCAAACCACCACAACACCCCCTCAAGACCCTCCCACCCTGAAAGCCAAAGCAGCTCAGCAGAGACCCAGCCAAGTCCCAGGCCTCGCTACTGGAGCAGAGTGACTCCTCCCTTCTCGAGGCAGGCAGTTTCTCATATCTTAGTGGCTTTCTTGCGTTTTTTGCAGTATATGTTGTTGAAAGAAACTCGTCAGCGATGATTTGTCACGATGTTTTTCTGACATCATTTTTGTCTAGTAGTTCTTGACGTTTCATGGGGAACGGCGGCTTTTCTAGAGGTGTTGAGGTTGAAAACATGGTCAGGGTAACCAGACTCGTGTCGTAAGCATCAAGTTGGCGCTTCTCGTGAGAAGAGCATCACTGGAAATGATCAACCCGAACAGTGCACTTCAGCATTCGGTCTGGCACGAAGGTTTTCGGTTGCTATCATCGACGGTGCTGTAAATCTATAGACTAATAGAGCTCGTCAGTGTATCTGTGGCGTCTCTGCATATCCACATTACATGTATATATAAATACAAATTTGAGTATGTGTATACATATATATATATACATACGCATGTGTGTGTATATATATATATTTACATGGATCTTCTTTTTCTGTATATATATATACATATAGATATACAGATTGCTCTTGTACTATGGATGCCAATGTGCGCTCTAACGCGCAAGCTGAAACACCAGCAATGTTCGGAGCCTCGCCACAGATCGCAGCAGCCATGGGATATCATCGCAATGAGCAGAGACCAAGCTCGCAATTAAATCCAAAACCTAGAACCCTGAACACCGAACCCGAATCCCGAAACCCCAAACCCTAAATCCTAACACCGAAACCCTAAGCCCTAAACCCGAAACCCTAGACCCTAAACCCTGCAGCCTAATACTTAGGTCCCCTCTCATCTCTAGGCCTCGGCAAGCGGTGGCGGTGTCCGTGCCAAAGCCGTGCAGGTTGAGCAGGCCGGGCGGGTTCTCAAAGCTATGACCATGCAGGACAGAAGCGGCAGTTGGAAAAGCGGACGGGTAGGAACGGGAGGCGGACGAGGAGGGCCCGCAGGAAGCAGAGGCAGCAGGAGCAGCAGTTGTGGTAGCACAGCACCCGGAGCAGCTCAGCAGCAGCGGTGGTGCAGCAGGGGCAGTGGCCGAAGAGGTAATCGTACAATAGACAGTCCCGAGTAGGGGGTGACCATGGTCATACGTTTGAGTTGAGTTCCACCATGATATTCCTAGTTCCAGGACTAACAGCCACTTTCGGCTTCTGACGTAGTTGAAACGTACTGTCAGATGTTGACCACACGTATGAGTTCGGCCCTACTGTGCACAAAGCCTGGAGCCAGGCTGTGGACAGATCTCCGCCGCTGCAGCTGCAGCCATGGCCAGTGATGTTTTCTCAAGATGCAGGCAACCAGTATGCATGTATGTATCAGTAATATATATATATATGTACACAAATAGAACTATACATACATATTAATACACATACATATACATATATTCACACATATATCAGCAACAACCAACACCCACACACACACACACACGCACACATATACATATATATATATATATATATCTGTATGCATTTTTTCATGTTATGTATGTATGTATGTATGTATGTATGTATGTATGTGAATATGTATGTATGTATGTATATATGTATGTATGTCTGTATTTAGGTAGGTAGGTAGGTAGGTAGGTAGATAGAAAGGTACGTATCTATCGATCTATCTATCTTTTTTATTCTTTCTATCTGTCTATCGGTTGATCTATCTGTCTATCTATCTATCTATCTATCTATCTACCTACCTACCTATCTACCTATCTACCTATCTACCTATCTATCGATCGATCTATCTATGGCTCTATCGATCTATCTACCTATCTCTCTGTCTGTCTATCTGTCTATCTATCTATTTGTCTGTCTGTTTGTCTGTCTATCTATGTATCTGTCTGTCTAGCTATGTCTGTGGATTTCGCAGATTCAGATCCTTGGGTTCGGGCTGTTGTTGCGCGCGAGAAAGGCCCTTTGTTTTCGGCGTGGCAGTTGCCCACAATCATGGTAATAGGGTAGAGTCGAGATCTGAACCCATCAACCTAGAGTACCCAAGTGCAAGAAGACCTGTGGCAGAACACGTCCTCCGCGTGGACAGCTGCTGGATGAGTGCCATTAACTGCAGCGACGGCACCATTGCGAAGGACGCAGAGTTTTCCAAACTTATCAGCCTTACCCCTCTGTGCGAGCAGGACACCGTCCGGTCATTGCAGAAGGAGTCTGTGATACTGGAGATGCACAGGGCCTCAGGTGATCCCAAACGCCCTTCTTGCTCCAGGGCTTCCACTCTGCTTTGGCTTCGAGCTGAGGCCGCCGGCAACCTCCGAGGAGGCGGTCCAACGTAATTGGGGCCTTGCAGGCTGGTGCAGGGTGCCTTCAGGGTGGATCCGGGAGCCCTGAGACTGTCTGAAGCCCTAGGAAAATCCGCGGCACGGGTCAGATCTGCAGGCTGTGCCGCGCTGGCTCTCATTCTCGGTCTCATGCTGCTGGGCTGGCGGGCGGCTCAGAGCCGGAATTCGCCGGGCGTCCAAAAGGGGGGGCTTAGCGCCTGGAGAGGTCAAGCCAAAGCCCTTCGCAGACCGGCAAGCGCCGGATGTCGAAGTGACGTGGAGGCGGAGGCCCCGCCCCGATCAATGCATGTCGTGGCTCTAAAGACTCTAAAGTCGGAGTCGGAGGCCTGGTTTGTGATGGACATCTACGATGTCTTCGGACCGAACACTCCACCCGCGTGTTTCACAGACGGAAGCCTGATGCCAGTAGCAGAATGTAGCTGCCTGCCGTGGTGCAAAAGTGGGTGCTCCTTTGCTGTACCGCCTTGCGTCTCGTGTGATCCACATGGAGTGGGCTTGGGGTCCCGGAGCTGAGGCGAGTTCTTGGCTCTGGGTCATTCGGTTCACTCGAACTCTCCGTCCAGTCGGCTCAATTCATTGTTCTGGTGATAGCAGGCATCGAAGGGCCTCAAGTAGCAGTTAGTTCACAGCCACTTGGCTTCAACTTTGGGGGATCCCGAATCCCTCCTGGCTCCAGCTTTCTCAAGCCGATCGCTTTCGAGCCGTGGGTCCGTATGCAAAGGGCCAAACGAGGATTGGCAAAGCCAGGCGGTGTGACAGCAGATACCCGACCTCCGACGACCCCTCCACGGCCATGTAGAGTCCTTTCTACGGCGGCTCTGAGGCACTTTTCCATTCTGGAGAGATGTTCTTCGGCGGCTTTCCAGGGGGCGATGGCTTCCCCGGCATGGGCGGCAAGGGCGGAGGCTCGGGTCATCTGTGCGAATCTTGTGGCAGCTGCTTTGGTCATTGTGGGAGGTTTAGCAAGCTTGGGGTATCTGCATGGCTCTACGGTCACCTGAAACCACCCTAAGCGCCAAGGCGTTTCCGGGGATCGGGGCTGCTTGCAGGCCGGGGCAAAAATGCGGACACGACGAAGTTCTACAAGCTCCTCGAGGTGGAGAAGCCGCCGGGCCGAGAAGCTGGAAAACTGGCGCAGGGAGTAACATAGGGACTTCAATGCTTAGAACAGAGTTTTGGGTTTTAGGCCTTTAGGGTTTAGGGGTTTAGGGTTTAGGGTTTTAGGGATTTAGGGTTTTTGAACAGGGGTTGTGGGCGTATTTATAAAGTAGACTATTATATAACAGCCTGGATAAGTACCGATATTATTGCCCCGGAACCACTTCATGTAACTACTGACATGAAGGAGCCCTAGAAAATCATACTGGTAAGTATTTAGGGTCTTTGGCCCTGCATAAGCGTTGCAGCTGATGCTCGGTGCTTGGAGTGTTGCGACGCGGCCTAGGAATGCCTCAGAGGCCGACATCAAGAAGGCTGCCCGTGCACAGAATCTTTTGGGGCAGGCTCTCACTAACCACTTAAGCCCAAAACCAAAATCCTGAACCCTGGTGTCTATCGATTTTCGATTTTTTAAATCTATTTTGCAATGGCTGGAGACCTGCCTTTTTGTTCTGCCTTTTGAGCTTCAGTTTCACCTGGCAGAGGCATACAGAAAGCTGGCCGTGAAGCATCACCCTGACAAGGCGGGGAAGGAATAGCATCGTAGATCGTAGGGGGTTTAGAAGAAAAGCAGCACCGTAATCCGGGATGTTTTAATAGAGTATAATATAATCTGGCAGGTTGTGTATTTTTTAGCACAGCACTGGGCAAGATCGTATTTAAAGTAGTTCAAGCCCACACTAAAGAAGACTCGCAATCCAGTGTAGACTTAGTTGCGGCAATGTTTTGAGAGGTAGTCGGCATGCTGGCAGAACTTGTGAGGTTCCCCCTAAACCCTAAACCCTACACCCTTAAACCCTACATCCTAAACCCTACACCCTAAACTTTTAAAAACCCCTAAACCCTACACCCTAAACTTTTAAAAAACCCCTAAACCCTACACCCTAAACTTTTAAAAAACCCCTAAACCCTACACACTAAACTTTTAAAACACCCTAGACGCGCATCATCCTGTGAGGGCGGCGACCCGGAGAAGTTCAAGGAGATCACCAGGGCCTATGAGGTGGCCACCCTTCTTTGCACGTCTTGGGGCTTTCGGGCTTGGGGTTTAGGGTTTAGGGCTTGGGGTTTAGGGTTTAGGGTTTGGGGTTTAGGGTTTAGGGTTTGGGGTTTAGGGTTTAGGGTTTGGGGTTTCAGTTCTGAGTGGACTGTAGCTTTCCCCGGACATTCCCTGGAGCCCGATCGATTCTAGAAACGAGCACTCCACACCATTCCGACAAATCATCTTCTTCAGTTGCGGTTGTCGGACGGCGAAAATCCTGCAACCAACGACTCTACAGGACTTGACGAGAAGAGCTTGTAGATGGAGAGGCATCATCGTCTTGATGCGTGTCTGCTTAAGCAGTTTCGGTGATCTGCTTGCGCCAAGCCATGTGCATCTTCAGAACAACCTGGAACAGACCCAGTCCCGTAGATGCCAGGTTCTCAGTGATTCCGACAAGCGTTCGAAGTACGATCGTTTCGGTCCGGCACTGAGCCTAGACAATCCTTTGTCACTCCTGTGCGGCGGCCTCCTTGGACCTGCACCGGAGGATAGTGAGGACAACTGTAGGAAGTATCTGTTATATCACGGTGCTTCAACTTGCTGTAGTATATTCTGCTACACTGTACCATGGTCGTGTATTTTCGCGTACTACATGACATTTTCAACCAGCACTATATACACGTACTATCCTATATGTCTTTAATGGATGCGTCGTGAACCCCAGGTGAGGAAGGCCTGGACAACGACGGGCCTGGCGATGCCTCAGACATCTTCGAAGCCTTCTTCGGGGGAGGCTCACCAGCCCCCAACCCTCCAAACCTTGTCTAAGCCCCTAAACTCTACACCCTAAATCTAAACCCAAGGCTCCAGACTCGCTGAACTCTAAACCTAAACTCTTACAGTACTCCTAAACTCTGACCCCTAACCCCTAATGTAATTCAACATAACATAGTATAATGTAATCTAGCGTACTGTAGTACAATATATTATACAATATAACATAATTTGCGGTCACAGTTACGCTGATACGGGCGAGGCAGGCGGGAGGGGGAGGGTAGGCAGGAAGGCACTGTAGGTAGAGGGTACTAAGTTAACCCCCCCAGACACCTGAGGCCTGTGGCCTCGGCGGATATAATATACTATAGTATGGTATGTTATCATAATTCCACCATCTTCTCAAGTGCACAAGGCGGCCGCCGGGGTGGGGGTGGACAGCGAAGGCGCCAGAAGACCAAGGTGCCTTTGCCGAGGTTTCGAAGGGTTTAGGATTTCGGGTTTTAAGGCGTTAAAGTTAAAAGGGGTCTACAAGGGTTCTAAACCAATTACTGTAGGGTTTAAGGTGCATAGGAGCCGGAAGAATTGCAAATCTTCTGCCTTAGGGTTTCGCACGATCATTACAGCATAATGTCTTTGATCGTGACGTGACTGATTAGTGTCATTGTCAGCAGACTGCTACTGCTACTATTGTGGTTATTGTTTTTGTTTAAATCGTTGCTAAGGTTGTGGATGTCTTTGAGGATTGGTCGTGAAGTTTGCTCTAAGTTTGGCTGGTGCATCGCGAGGATGTGGTTCAGAACCTCAAGGTCACACTGGAGCAGCTCCTTGGCTTGTAAGTTCCGCCAGGGCTGCGCAGGCAAGATTGTTATACCACTTTATACAAAGACCATACCATACCGTACCGTACATGCCGTACCGTACCATACCGTACCATACCGTACCACACCATACAATGCCATGCCGTACCACCCCATACCATAGACACAGGTCTTGGTCCGGGTGTTCTTAGATAGCCTGGTACACGGCCTCCTTTGTTGTGTATGAAAAGCAGACGGTCTTGGTCACGCACAGTTGTCCGCACGACCCTAAATCGCAAATCCTGAAACGGTTGAGCATGCCAAGGATGTATGTTGGCGCCACGAAGAAGATGGCCATCACTCGCCAGGCTGGTTGACAAGAAAGTCGATTTGCTACCCACCGTTGCCATCATCCTTATCGCCAGCATTGTTTGTGGAAGCAAGCATATTGCTATGGTTGATGACAAGATTCATGGCTGAACCATGGCTCAGCGGTCAGTGTTAAAGCACAGGAAGCTTTAGAGTAAGTCCGTCTACGAATCTCCCACCGAGCGAAACCCTGGTAGGAGAGGGCATTGACGATTGTGTGATAATCATACTCACCGCTATCATGACAGTAGCGAACGTAACAATAACAACAGCAACAGCACAGTAAATTCAACGCTATAGGTGTGAGAATTTTCTGTAATCATCAGCGATGCAAAGGTCATCGACAAGAAGAAGGGCGTCCAGGAGTGTCGGGAATGCGACGGCCGCGGCGTGAAGGTCGAGGTCGTGCGCATGGGGCCGCGCGGCTGTAGTGAAGAGGCAGAAGTCCCAAGGGGGCAGGAGTTGAGGGGTTTAGGGTTTAGGATTGAAGAAATAAATCTGAAGAACTGAGGCCCATGATTCAGCAGATGTGCCTTGGCAAGGATTGAGATCGTCTCGGAGAGCTCGGCGATGGCGCCTCCAGCTGTTCTTGGCATTTGGTGCAGTTTTCTGGGCGAAGAAACTGCAAGCTTGGGACTGATCTTGGACCGTCACCAAACACCAACTACAGGGGGCCCTGTTACAGACTGCTACAAAAGATGCTGAGCACCGACCTGGAGCCTGACCTCGAAGCCTGAAAAGCCCCTAAACCTCAACCCCGTGAACCCTCAACCCTAAACCCTCAAACCCTCAAGCCCTCAAACGCCTCAAACCCCTCAAACCCTAAACCCTAAACCCTAAACCCCTGCAGCCCCTGAACCCCGGAATCCCTGAATCCAACCGCAAATGAAGAGCCCAGCCCTGTCTGGAGCCCCAGGCAGTCGCAGTGCCACTCCTGTGGTGGCCAGGGCAAGAGCTTCCAAACGAAGCAGGAGAGGGAGGTGCAGAATTAGGGTTTAGGGTTTAGGGCTCAGGGTTTGTAGGGGATTCAGGGCTTCAGGGGTTCGGAGGTTTCAGGGTTTAGGTTTTGTAGGGGTTCAGGGCTTCAGGGGTTCGGGGGTTTCAGGGTTTAGGTTTTGTAGGGGTTCAGGGGTTCGGGTCGGGGGTTTGGACTTTGATGCTCTACTTCATCTTTGTATTGCTGTGACAATGCATAGCACCGCACTTTTTGATGCTGATACCGTTATTGCCTCTGATTACGACTCGTTACGGTTACTACTGTCGTCACTTGTGCCACTACTGTTGGGCAGTAGCTTTCGTAGTCTGTGGTCGGCTGAATGTTAAAACAATAGCAGTGTTGTTGTTGATGCTGCTGCTGCTGCTGCTGCTGCTGCCCGCCATGATACGTGAGTGGAGCGGAAAGACAGGGCCTTGGGTCATCAATCTCGGTGTGACTGCTGAACACTCAGCCTGTTGTCCGGAAGGGCGCGACAAAGTAGGGCTGTGTCATGGGCGCACTCTGTGTGATCTACCTGCATCAGGATCTGTGGTGGGTTGTGACTTAGGACTTTAGCTTCATCGTGAACATGGCAGAAGGTTTGCGGCACAAGCCTGCGCATTCTACAAATTTGCAAGTCCCCGACAAGCTCAGTACGGTGGACTTTGTGTTTTTGGTCCAGGTGCTGGAGGTGCACGTGCAGAAGGGCTCGCCAGATGGCCACAAGGTGCCAGACAGAATCTCCTGGAGAGTAGGGAATGCAAAGTGGTCTAGAGTCTAGAGAGTGCCAACTCGCGGGGACCTGAGCCGTGCAGGTCACCTTCAGGGAAATGGCAGACGAGCACCCGGATGCAGACGCCGGAGATGTGATCTTCGTGCTGAAGCAGCAGGCAAGGGGGGTGCGACTGAGAGCTCCCTGGGCCACGTATGGGGGTCGGCTCTCGGCCTCAGGAGCACAACGACTTCAAGAGGAAAGGCGCCGACCTCTACGTGGAGCGCAAGATCTCCTTGGTCGAGGCTCTTGGGGCCCAGGGGGCCCTTTTGGGCGGAGCTTCCAAGTCTGCTAAAGCCAGGCCCTCTGCGGCTTCCAGATGGAGCTCACGCACCTGGACGGTCGGAAGCTTCTCATCAAGACACAGCCAGGTGGGCCTTCTCGGCCCTCCCCCCTCTCAGAGCACACTTCTGCTTCCTTCCCTTCTCTCAATGAAGGTGAGATCGTGAAGCCCATGTCCCAGGGCTTCGACCCTCTGGCCAAAGAGGCTCCAGCAGGGCGGATCCGCCCCCCCTCGCCCGTCACCTCCCAAAATCGCCAGGAGAGCAAGACCGAGTGGGAAGTCATCGAGGATGCAGACTGCCCCTCCGTAGAGAACGTCGCGCAGGCTCCTGGGAAGATATAGTATATCACATTACTTTACATGATAGTATATTACAGTAGATTAGATTACATTATATTCTACTATGTTGCATTATACTGCAGGGGCTGCGGGCCTTTTCTTCCATTGGCCAGGCCGACACCACGGACATCGACACGCTGAAGAAGGCGTGCGAGACCCAACTCAAGCGCCCGGGGCCAAGTGCTCCCCGGAAAGGGGGGGGTAGATGTGGAGTAGTTCTCTAAATTAGGGTCCCTTTTTTCGGTCCCCAATATAGCACGGCACCCTTATGACGAGGATTTCCAAAAAGGGACCCTGATTTAGAGAACTACCCAATATGCAGGTTATACTGGGGCCACACCGGACTCTGCTTTAAATATCATACAAACGCGATCGGAAATTAACGGTGCTTTCAGAGCCAGCACTCTCTGCTCCGGCTCTGTTTCGAAGGGACTCCGAATGTAGCCAGGCTTTAGGGTTTATGGAGTTTAGGGTTTAGGGGAGTTTCGGATATCAAACTGTCTTTTCGAGCCTTAGACTCCGCTCTGAGCAGTGGCTGCACGCCGGCAGCTCGAACCGAAGGCTCTCACATGAAGGGCCCTGCGTGCCAGTAAGTTAAGGGGAAGTCTCCAGGAAAGGGCATCGATGTGGGGTGCTTCGTCGTCGATGGCCAGCGACCGGGCCTTAGTCGATGAGACTTTGCTTGAGAAGCCCAAAGATCGCTGCAGCTCCCAGGTGCCTACTTCAAGCAGTGCTCTCGCGAAGAGGCTCTAGCAGCGACGTGCTTAGACTTCGGAATCTGCAGCTGCTGGAAGCACTGCCGGAGTTCTGCCACAGCAGCCGAGGCCAAAAAGACACGGCGCGGCAGCACGATGCGGCTTGGCTGCTTCTGAACACCGAACGTCCCATGGACGGCGAAGCTGCTGAAATCTGTCAGGGAAAGAGGCTGTCGGTGTCTTGCAGGTACGTCCTCCCTGATCCAGATGCTGCTTGGAAGCAGGGACTGATCTTAGGGTATATTGGAAAAACTATAATTATCTCAAGTTCTAGTAGGTTAATGTTACATTATATTGTATTATATTAGTTTATACTAGCTGGTATTATATTAGTTTATACTCGCTGGGAGGTTATGGGGAACAGACAGAGCTCGAGCTGCAAGCCGGTCTGTCAGCCGAGGCCAAGAAGTCCTTCCGCATGATGAAGGTGCCATGCTAGCAGTATTTTCTTCGCGCAATGCCATTCCAGGGGGTTTCGGGTCGGGAAGGAGTTGCTTTTTGGGCGGGTGGACGGAAGACTCCCGTAGAAGTCGCGGGAAGTCAGCTTCGGTCTCTTCTGTCCTCCTCGTCGTAAGGCTGTCAAGGATGAGGGCATGCCTACCTACAAGAATCCGCCTCTCGGCAGCACTTCCGCGACACGCATGAGAGCCAGTGAGATTGTGCTGATGGTGCTACTTCACTTCACTTCGAGAAGCCCACGAGATTACATCCAGCTCTCGCAAGCAGCACGAGATAAGGTTCGTCCATGGCAATCTCTTCCTGATCCTCACCATTGAGCCAGATCCTTGAGTTTGGGCTCTAGCTTTGTGTATCAGATGGCTCTTTCTGGAGGTTTCCGGACATGCTCTCCCCAGAGAACCAGACAGCGGCTTGCCTGAATGGTCGCAGTGTCCTGTGCATGTCCCTCCGGTGCGCACGAGCTTCGCAAGACAGTGCCTCAGTACCAGGACAACCAGCATTACCACAAAAGGCTGGTAGCAGCAGCGTCAGACCTAGAATCATCTTGTGACTCTAAGCATCATTATCTCACGGGAGAAGAGCAGAAGTCACACCCTCACCTTGCGTGACTTTGTATCACATTTCGACCTTCAGATGGTTAATGGTAACTAGCTGGTAGTGATGATGGAAGTTTTTTTGGTACCCTACCAGGCTATGGCAAAGCTGCTGCCACCGCCACGACCTCAGTAGACTTGCCAGACGGGGAAGCTTTGCGGCCCGGCACGTGGCAAACTGGAAGTCGATCTCTGCTGAGCTGCCAGGCCGCTGAACGTGCCAAAGTGGACGGAGGTGGGCCCGTAGTTATGAGCGGAATATTTCAGAAAGCACTGAGTTACTATCCATCCATCCATGCATCCATCCATGCATCCATCCATGCATCCATCCATCCATCCATCCATCCATCCATCCATCCATCCATCCATCCATCCATCCATCCATGCATACATATTCTGTGTGTAGTAGTTGATCTTAGTTAATACGTATATAGGTTGACACATACATAGTTAGTTAGTTAGATAGTTAGATAGACAGATAGACAGCACGTGACACAGGGTCTCCTCCTGGTTGGCTTGATTCTGGTGCCAGGACGACAAGGATGTCGAAATTCACACTGTGACCGACATCGACCCAGTGCAGTCTTTCAACTCAAACAAGGTTCGTCTTCCTGTCGAGCCGGCCGTAGCGCAGACTTGAGCTGATGCTTCCACTTACCTGCGGCATGCTGATTTGTGTCGAGTAGGATTTCAAGTGGTTCCAACCTAAACCGTAAACCCGACGCGCTACAGCTTGGCTTCCTCTGCGCAAGTCCGGGTGTGCGTGCCGCGTGTGATATTTGCAGGTAGCTGGCTTGTAGTGGCGACCTGAAAAGTATTCGGGGCAGGTCAACATGCAAGCGGGCGGTGAGGCCTACGACGACGATGAGGAGCGGAGGGAGACTGCAAAGAGCCAATGGGAGCCAAGGGGCAATGAGAAGATCCTTAGCCGCAGCTCCCAGGAGGATGGTCCTCGTGGGGGTCCTGGTGGACCTGGTGTGCAGTGCCATCAGCAGTGAGGCCGGGAAGTCCAGGGATCCACATGAACTCCAGACCGACGAGCAAAGAGTCCCAACCTGTGGGGGCACAGCTACTCTGCAGTGTCCAGCTTCAGTAGCCTCCGATTCGCTTATGGGCTCTTGACTCGGAGAAGTGGATGTTCACATCCCCTCCAGGATCAAAGTCTCCGCGTCCTCGCGATGCACTGATCATGGGGTGGCCTATCCAAAATCCGAGCTTGTGGCTCCCGTCGTGAAGAGGGTGTTTTAGGCTCGCACTTTCCAAGGGTCGCAGACGGAGTTTGGTAAGGCCGAGCAAAGCTCTTTTTTGTGCCGGTCCGGGAATCAAGGGGGAACGCATTGCCAGAGAAGCATCTGGCTGCTGTGGCTCCCGCCCGAGGACTCGACATAGCAGCATAGCAGATTCAAATGCCAAAGCCAGTTTAAACATAATAGGTCATTGATGTTTGTGCACCTGCCAGTCACTTGGCCTTCGGGCTCAGAACAGGATTTTTGTTTCAGAGATGCTCTGATCCTGGCGACGGTAGCCTGACTTAAGCCTGTGCGGATCCAAGACAGCACGATTCAAGCGCTGGAGCCCACAGCTGTTGCAGTCGTTTGCTGTAATGGTGTCCCTCAACCCAAAACCACCTAGGCCCTACTCGAACGCTGTGAACTCCAAGCTCCTAGTCCAAAGCCCGTAACTCCTGTGCTCTATACCACCGAAGAACCTAAACCACAAGCCCAGATGGTGTCTTAGCAAAGGATCCGCCAGCAGGAGGGCTCGAATACAGGTCGCCTCAGAATGGCGCTTCAGCCGCCTTGCTCTCTCCGTTCAGGTGCTGGTTTTTGTCGTGGTCTAGGCAGTTTCGGGTTTGACTCAATATTTGGTGTTTCCATCCTCAAAAAAGTCGACACTAGTGAGAACGGTTCTTTGCGAACCAACAGCGGGCGGAGAGTCCCGATCTAGGTCGGGAGCTGCCACAAACCGAACTTCATTTGCACGCTTTGCACGCAAAGAGAGGCAAAACCATCGGTGGATTCTTGTCATGCAGCTGACCTGCAAGTAGCATCCCTATGTGTGCCAGAGTGCGAGCCGCCCGGTCCGAACGTTGTAGGGGCGCTGCAGGGTGTGACCTCGTGGCTGGACGAGCAGCTGATCTTCCTTAGGGCGCTGCATGGTAACCATGAAATCCAGTCCGCAGCTTGTCCGTACCAGCATCGCTCAAAAAACGACCCATCAGAAAAAAACCCTAAACCCTAAACCCTAAGAGACATCAACAGCAAAGGAGAGGTCATCCTCGGGTCCCGACGTGCTGTGCGGAAGTACCGAGTTGTAACATCGTATTTCGCTATGGCAACCGCGACTTGCAAGGCTCGTGGGGTCCCGAAAGTCTTGAACCCTCCCCCAAAAGAGCAGCCTTCCGTCGGACTACAGGGCTCGGCTAAACCAGGGGAGAGTCACATTAATAATATGATTATTACTCATAGTAAAATTAGGCCTTCCAGACTAGGAAGTGCATTTTGAAGATGGGAAAAGCAGCACAGCTTTGGACTCTTGTCCTTTGATTGCGCAGGAGGCACGGAGGCAAGAGGCTACGGACTTTCCATGCTTTTGCTTCAAGCACCGTTGGGCAGTTCTGGAACCCAGAATCCCACAACCTCCGCGGATCCTTACAGATGCCTTTGTTGTGAAATCTCCATGTCTCGGCAATCAGCCATGCACCGCAGGACCTTGGAATCGTTGCATCGTTGATCACCGTAGTGGTCATCGTTGCATCGTGGGGGTTTGTCTTCGTGAGGGAGATCACCGGGTCTTCCGCTGCTTCCTGACATTTCCCCACTCCTAAGCACCATCAGATTATGTTGCATTTTACTATATTTTACTATATTTATTATATAATGAGTATATGATAATTATATTATAGTTGTATTATTTTATTACAAGTATATAGTTATATTATAATTATATTATAAATATATATATTATATTTATATTGTAATCATATTATCATTATACTATAATTGTACAGGGCTTATCGACGGAGTTTTTTGGTTTCGACTCCGAGAAGTGTGGCCTTCCGAAGTGGAAACGCTTTTACATGCTCTTCGCTCTTTGCAGAGCACCGGAATCGGAACCGCTGAACCGATGGCCACTTGCGAAAGCAGCTGCGGCTCAGGCACAGTTTCCGTGGGCCCCCCACATGCCACGCACCAAAGGATGCAGCGGCAGGATGTGAACGACATGAAGAACTGGGCAGAGCTTCAGGGGAAAAACGCCGAGAATGCGGCGATAGATGGCGTGCAGCCCAGCAACATCGTCAATGTGGAAGTCCAGGAGATGAACGCTGGGAAGGACGGGAAGGATGATATGAGCCCCGGCGTTCCCACGCCCAGCGTTCGGCAGGCCTCCGCTGCAATCCCCTGGTACATGTACATGATAGCAGCCACCGCCTCCTTGAACTCTATCGACTACGGCTTTGATGTTGGAGTCAGTTCAGGTGTCGCCCTGTATTTACGAGAGGGCTTCGAACTAGGAGATGTGGAGGTGGGAATGTTCTTCTCCATTGTGCCCATCGCCGCAGCACTGGGAGCCATGGTTGCCCAGTCTGTTTCAGACCGCTTCGGCCGAAAAGGCAACTTCCTGGCCACACAGTTCGTCGGCATTGCGGGAGTTCTGCTTTGCGGCTTCTCGGTGAACTATGACATGATCTTGGTTGGCCGCTTCCTTGTAGGGATCAGCGTGGGGATCGGCATGTCCATTGACCCAATGTACATCTCCGAGACTGCGCCCGCAGAACACCGTGGCAAGCTGACGACCTGGGCTGAGATGTCCGCCAATTTCGGCATCATGCTTGGCTTCTTCTTCAACTGGCTCTTTAAAGACCTGCCAGAGAACGTGAACTGGCGCGTGATGCTGCTTTGTGGGGTGTTCCTTCCGACTTTGCTCATCATCCTGACGCTGACCTTCATGCCCGAGTCGCCCCGGTGGCTGATCACCAAGGGCAGGACGGAGGAGGCCAAGAGCGTCTTAAGAAGAACACACTCTGAAGGTACGGATGTTGATGAAGTGGTGAAGGCCATCGTGGAAGACATCCAGCAAGCAGAAGCGCACCGAGCTACCACGTGGAAGAGTGTCCTCTGCCCTCCACGTCAGTACCGCCATGCAGTGTTGTTGGCCTTCTTCATGGCTGTAGCTCAGCACATCTGCGGCGTGGACGGCGTGATTTTCTATGCCCCCACGCTGTATGAGCGAGCGGGTGTTGCAGACACCAAGCAGGAGCAGTTCACACTGACAGTCACAATGGGGATTGTGAAAGTGATCTCTATTGGCGTTTCCATGGCCTTGCTGGATTCGGTGGGCAGGCGGCCCTTGCTCCTTTTCGGCAGCCTTGGTACGGCCCTGAGCCTTGCAATGATAAGTGTGGGCTCCCTGCGTGAGTTGGAGATTGGTGTCCTCGCCGTGATGGGGACATTTTCCTTCGTTGCTTGCTTTTCGATTGGCTTCGGACCTGTATGCTGGCTCTATGCCGCAGAACTCTTTCCCTCAACCCTTCGCTGCAAAGGGATGTGCCTCTGCGTCCTGCTGAATCGGGCAGCCGCCGCCTTCGTGAATTTGTCCTTCTTTCCTTTGTCCAACCTCCTGGGGGGACAGGCCGGTCTCTTCGGCCTCTACGCTGCTATAACAGCTCTGGTCACCGTGGTGGTGGCGTTCACGGCCATCGAAACCAAGGGCAAGTCCCTGGAAGAGACTTCGGGGTCAAGGAGCACCAAGAGCCTTGAGAGCCAGGTGCCTGAGATTCTGTGACCTCGGCCTCTGAGCTTGTGGTTTGGGGCGGAGCACGGGCATGCCCTGATGAAGCAGGGATCGGCCGTCAGTCGCCCGAAGCCCCATACCCTACACCCCACCCTACACCATCCTAAACCTCAGACCCCTAACCCCTCAGCACCCTTGGTGTTCTTATGGCTCAGCGCTGGCTAGGTTCGCGCGAGCCGCCGCACCTAGGCGCGGCCTGAGCCTCCTTAGAGTGTTAGAAGACCCGGGCGTCCTGATGAATCAGGACTTGCTGTAGCGACCTAGACAGCCAAAGCAAGTTCAGGTACTCGTTGTTCCAGAGACCACAGCTTTTTCAGGTCCCTACAGTGATCACATGCGCCGGCGATCTCCTGTTTAAAGTTAGGCTGCCAACCGTGGTTGCAGCTGCGGCACCTCCGTGTAGCCTGCAGGTGCTGAGTGCTGAAGTTGAATATGGCTTACAAACTCACTTCTCAGAGCCAGCAAGGCTGGTTTAAGGCTACGGCCTAGGGGTTGCTTAGGGCAAGGGAGGTGGCGCCAGCTGCAACAGGTAGGTGTGGCCTGTTTCTGTGGCGAGCGGGCAGGTCCTGATGAAGCAGGACCATGCTTCGGATTGCTGCATGTGACATTCTGGTTTTAATTATAGCCCAGGGCTGCAAAGCCTGCGGCTCCCTGGTGGCTCCTCGAAGAACAGGCTGCGAAATGTGCCAAACAGTGGTTCAATGGAAGGCGTGCGGAGATTAAGCACTCAGCAGTTCTTTACGACTACTGCCAGACAGCGACTGACACCCCTTTCCGTCGAAATTAGTACAGTCTTCAACTGCCTCCAGCTGCGTTCCAGGCTTCGTGCAATAGCCGAGCTACATGGAGCCGTTGCCATTGCAACTTCGTGTTTCCCAAAGCATGACATAAGCCCAAACACAATCATCGTCGAACACATCCGACTCTTTAAAGCAGCTACTTTGAGTAGAATCCACTTCGAAATCCCACCTCTTGGCAGTTGCCAGGCTAAGATGCCGTGCCTGTCCCAGTCAGTCGGCACTCCATGTGGAGGTTATCGCTTAGGGGATTTTGGGCGGGTTCCTTCATGCGGATCCTGCTATTACCGGGCTGTAACTCCCATGTTTGACAGTTAGGAGTCCCTTTTCGGGAGTGTAATGGGGATTAGACGAAATTTGAGGACGTCTGTCTTGTGAGACTACGATACTATCGCAGTGGCATCGTG